TGTTTAGCTGTGTGCTGTGTGTGACCAGGTTTCCATGACAAAAAGAGCTTAGTTGTCTTGTATAGATTGTAAATAGTGTAAATAGACGTTTTCTGATTGATCTGGTAGCTGTAGGGGTGGGTTTTTGTTTTGCGCTCCGGTTTTCCCTAGGCCGGGGTGTAACAAAAGAAAAAAATGGAGAGGAAGAATTCAGGCTTTTAGAACATTTTATTAACATAATAAAACAATACTTCAGTGACCCAAGGATCCAAACAGTTTGTTCAACATTCTTTCTGGTTAGTGTAACAAAAAATATCCCCAACTAAAACCAGTGTGTGTAAGTTGTCCTCCAGTTATAGTAGAGAGATTTTGTCCCAGTGCTACTGACAGGGAACATTTGTTTGATTGTTGTGTTACAAATCAGCATTTAGTTAGCTGCTCTTGATGTGTCAGGCCAATCTTCACTACTAAAGACAGCACGACAGAGAACGGAGAGACTGTTATATATTTGTTACAGCACTGAGGATGGTCATATGTTTAAAGTCTGAGTACACAGTTTGTGCGTATTGATGATTTAATTTGTAGTTTCTATAAATCAGGTGTAGCTCTCTTTTTTAAAACTGGTTCAGTTAGGCAGACATCACACAATACAAAGAGACAATGATAATGATTCCGTATGAGTGATGTTCAAAATCTTTAAACTTTCCCTGTTTCAGGCACAACAGGGATGTCCTTGGGTTACTGACAGTTAAAAAACAACAACAACCCCCCTAAAAAATGTTTTCTTCTGCTTTTCTTATTTTTTTTTGTTTTTCCTGAATTTAATACTACTACCCACTAGAAATATTAACCAGCTAATTTCACTGTATTAGTTTGATTTTAAAAAGTTGGCTTCAGCTGAAGTTTTTTCTATATGAAAATACACTTTGTTGAACTCTTTATAGACACAAGATATTTAGAAACATCACAAAGTTGTAAAATAAAAGATTTCTTGTCTGATATTTGCTGACACAGCGTGTAGTTGCTCCTGTTGATAATTACAGTCTTTTGTATATATTTGTTGAATACCCTTACAGATGTCTGTCTTTTAGATTTTATTTTGACATTCACCTGTGAGGGATGCTACAGCTTTTCCAGAATCATTTTTATTTTACATAACAGGATCTACATGACCATATTGACAGTTGTTTTTACCAACACCGTACAATTGTCAAAAAAACATAAAACAAAACAAACCCTATGTTTATTTTATTTTATGTGTCATTTGGATTAGTGTTGTGGCTTTGCCATAACTTAATCTGTTCTACAGGAGATTTTTTCACTTACATGTATCCAGTGATGGGAATAACGGCGTTACAAGTAACGGCGTTACTTTTTTCAGTAACGGGTAATCTAACTAATTACTACTGTGTTCAGCTTACCGCATCTTATATCAGTTGCTCGGAAGTAGCTGTAAGTAATCTGGACGCTACAGCTTTAAGCAGCTGCGCGCGCTCCCGCGGACGGTAATCACGATCACTTTCTAGCACAACACCTGGAGCTAAGGGGGCAAAACAATCGCATGAGTGCTGCTGTTTGACTGAGGAAGAATAAAGTAGTCGTGGTAAGCCAATCACATGACCACTTAAAGACAAAGCAACAAGGTGATATATACCAGCTTTTAAATTGTGTTGATAGGCCACGTAAAACCAGAGTCATGATAAACAATATATACGCGGCGTTTTTTCCTCAATAGTTTTGTCACGTTTACTGTCTAAGGACAGCGCTAGCAAGCACTCTGCTTATGAGAGAAAAACAAAAAAAACAAAAAAAACAGGGGAAGTTAGGAGTGACAGCGAGAGAGAGAGAGCGAGTTTTGAGATGTGAGAGATTTGTGACGTTTAGCGTCTTTGGAGTGTGTAGTTAATGTGTTGTCTTGTGTAGTTAGTGTGTAGTGTTGTGAATAGTTTTGTGTTGTGTGTCAGAACAATGAGGCGACTGCTGTCTCCAGGTAGAAACAGGAGTGATACACCTGCTGCTGTCAGACCTGCAGGTATCAGGCTGTGATGTTTTCCTTTACAGTGGACAGAGATTTTTTTTTTGGAGTGGCACAAATAATTTGTGTGGCATCTTATTGAATAAAGAACAGCTGATTATTCTGTAAATAGTTTGAAATGGTTATTTACAAAATCAAGGTAAAAGGTAAATGGATGCAAATAACTTTGTTGTTTGCAAAACTTGTGCATAGGATTTTAAATTTGACAATTTATATTTGCATTTAAAGTTATGAAATATGATTCAATAAACATGTTTGTGGTTGTTACAGTAAAAAATATAACTTTTTCTACTCTGATTTTATGTTTTTTGTCTGATTTTAGATCAATTGTGTTAATACAGTATGTCAAAATGAAAACATGACTGTAAATTCAGACACGTGAGGTTGTGCTGAAAAGAATGATACCAAACAAGGCAAAGTAAATAGTTTTTAAAGGTAAAATGTGGAGGGAAAATAAAAATTTATTTAAAAATGGACCCCACAGGGTTAAATGTTTTTTTTTTTAAAGTAACGCAATACTTTTCAAGTAATTAATTACTTTTAGAATATTGTAACTCAGTTACTAACTCAGTTACTTTTTTGAAGAAGTAACTAGTAACTATAATTAATTACTTTTTCAAAGTAACTTGCCCAACACTGCATGTATCAACAAGTCAGACATTAAATGCACATTCTGGTGATTTAAAGGGACTATTTGAGTATTTTGATTGTTAATGATTGACATTCGTTAAACAGAGTTAAATTCAAGAAACATTATTGTTAAAATGAATTTGTTATACAAAATTAATAGAAAATACATCAGATATCATTTAATATTGTTTAATGTTCAAGAACAAATCAGCCTGTAAAACTTTTGGCTTCTCTTTCAATAAAATCTGAAAGGAAAAGGCAACATGAGAGTATTATAATGTGTGATGAATCAGAGTGACTGCTGCCTCTTGCCTCATGCCACACAGGTATGCATGGCACTGCAGAGGATGAAGTAAGGATTCATCTTCAAGCGCTCAATAGTGCGCTTCAGACGCACAAAGCACAACTCACTCTGAGGACAGATAATGTTTTGTCGTGATCCACCCTCTGATCAGAGGTGGAACAGGTGTCAACCCTTTGAACCTGAAGGAGGGTGGTGATTTTGCATTTCTGAGAAGCTTGATGTCATGGTTAAGGCATTGTTCATCATTGTTACTGTGGCTTCAAACACCATCAGCAGATCTCAGACTTCCTTGTCTGCTGTGCAGATTGTGGGCCTGATGCTGAGGTTGGTCAGATCCTCTCTCTCTACATAGGTTTCAGAACCAGGACACAGTTGTGACAAACATTAAAGCTCAACATTTCAAATACACTCATGTTAAGAGTCAGAGAAGAAGCCTGATACCATCCTTATATCAGTGCAGTAAAACCACTGGAGTCAGGTTAGTGTGCCATGAATAATTACTGACGCTGCTTTGGACTTCTATGTAGCACAAACACCTTCACAGTTTATTTTTATAATGTCCATGCTCAATGAACAATTTACTCCACTTTCCAAATCAAAAACATTAATTGTGCTAAACATGTGTAAAATGTAAATAAAAAGCAATGCACCGCTTTAAAAAATATTAAATAGGGCAAAGAAATTGAAATATATGTGAAAAGTTTGGATTTAATGCAAAAAACACAAAATAGTGGAAACTTGTAATGCTTATAAGCCTAATTAGGTTTCTTAGTAATAGGGTGGCTCTGAGAAACAAACCAACATTCCTGAAAACATAAAAACAAAAACAGGAAATATAAGAAATGTAACTTTAAGGGGAAATAGGTAAATGTCCTTTGTTACAATATTATTCATATCAGCTTCTCCATTCTTTCGTTACACGGGTGAATATTGTAAGGGGTAATCAATCAGCAATTGATCTTACATTGGTTTAAAATCTCTGGCTGGTATTAGCAGCTGGAGAGTATACCAAGATAACACAGTAGGTAGTGACCACTATCCATTTTTTATCAGCATAGGAGCAGACACAGAGAGAACACAGATGAAAACAGAGGGTAAGTGGAAATTTTAAAAGGCAAACTAGGATAAGTTTAGGGTGTGGAGTGAGGGTAGCTTGAAAAAATCTGAATTTCAACAAACCAACAAATGAACTGAACTCAGACATAAGTAAAAGTGTAGTGGATGCAGCCAAAGAATCTATCCTGTAAAGTAGTGGGAACAAAAAGAAAATGTTAACACCATGGTGCACACAAGAATGTACATTAGCAATTAAACCACAGAACAAGTTTAAAAATGAAACAAACAGAGGTTAGAAGGATCACAAAGAAAGGTAAGAGTTATTGTTGGAGAAAATGCTGCGAATCACTGGGTAAAAATACACCACTGGACAGGGTTTGATGTACAAAAAATGTCTGGCAATTCAAAAGATTGTTATTTTGCAACAATGATAGATAATGAAAATATTATAATAGACAAGTAAATCTGAATTATTAGAAAAACACTGACGTAAGTAAAGAACCTTAACAATAAAGAAACAAGAGAATGAGAAACAACATTACAGAGAAATATCCAAATAATTCAGGATGAAGACGACAGTGAGGACGTAATTAATATCAAGTTTTCTTTGTCAGAATGGAACAAGGCATTAAAGAAATCTAGAAAAACAACTCCGGCTCAGGATCAAATCTGTTATTGTATGCTGAACAATCTGAGTGATGCAATCAAGGAAATATTGATAGAGTTATATAACAAGGAAAACTACCTAATAAATGAGAAAGATTGGTCAGGATTCTTCATAAGAACAAGAATAATTTAAAGATAAGTGAATTATTTCAAAGAAACTCGGGAGATATAGTTTTTGTTGACATTTTTAAATTTGTGAATTAAATTGAAATGTATAAAAGAATATAATGGTGGTACTGTAGTTTCTGATCCATACGCCAATCTAGAAGGTGGCGGTAATGCACCTAAGAGTTGCTTGACAACCATAAAAACAGTAGAAGAAGCAGAAGGAGAAGGAAATAGAAGAAGAGGAAGAAGATCGGTTCCCGTTAAGCTGTCAGCTCAGCGTCGGAAAGGAGTGCTGTAAAAATGCATGTTAAAGTGAAAACGTTAACTGGAAAGTCAATAAATATCGAAGTGGAGCCATCTGATACAATTGAGAATTTAAAAGCTAAAATCCAGGACAAAGAGGGCATTCCTCCAGGTAGGTGTGGAATCACTGTCCTCCATGATCACGACTAAAACGAGCACTACAGATTACTACATTACAGTTAACGCTAGACAGATTGTCACCTGCCCAGAACTACAGGTGTTACTTAATTTGTTTATTTCCAGAATGGCCTGCAGTCACACTGTCTACTCATAAAAGTCATTTTGTAGCTTCAGCAGGTTTCATGGTGCGTTTGCTTGCACTTTGTAAACTAAGAAATCTTTATCCCAGTAGTCAGGAAAGTTGTTAAAAGGACATTTTCTGATTTTCCTTTGTTAAAATAAATTCATCATTTATTTATTTCTTCTTCTCTACAAGCTGCATTTCTCTGTAGGGACATTTATATATTTCTACGAATTATGGTTATACGAGTATAACCATACATAGAAGAGCTCCTCCTCCTCCACACTGAAAGGAACCAGTTGGGGTGGTTCAGACTTCTGACCACGATGCCTCCTCAGCACCTCATATTTGAGGTGATTCGGTCATGTCTAGCTGAGAGGGGATACTGGAGAGATTCTGTCTATTGGCTGAAACAACAGGAGGTGGTGGCTGGGAGAGGGAGGTCTGGGCATCTTCCTGAACCTGGCTAAGATTTAAGCAATCTAATTTTACCCAAAGAAGTTTTCTCCTGGCAGACGATTACGGAACGCGAGGACTGCCATAATGAATTAATTAAATACACCATTAAATAATTAATTAAATGTGGCAATAATTAATTAAAATCGGAAATAATTAATTACATAAATATTTACGACACATGTAATTAATTAATTATTGACACATTTAATTAATAAATGTGTCATTAATTAATTATGTCTGTGAAGGTTCTCAGTCATCCAGGTCATCATAGTCAAAGGAGCTTGCAAAGAAAAGCGTCTGGACTTCTTTAAGTTACTTGAAGACGTTTCACTCTCATCCGAGAATCTTCTTCAGTTCTAAGGTCAAATGGTGGAGAGTCCCAGATATAAACCTAGTGGGAGTATCCCCCCACAGAGGGACAAAAGGACCCCCTGATGATCCTCTAATCGCCTGAGCCAAGGTGTGAAACTGGGTGTGGGTCCCAATCAGCCAGAGTTTTGGGTGAGTTCATTGTGAAACCTGGCCCCACCTTATCATGCGAATTCTTGAGGTCAGATGGCCCAGGATGTGAGTGGGCGTTAAGGCGTCTGGGAAGGGATCTCAAAACTGGATTATAGATGGCAGAGAGTTGGTGTCGTAAACCACCGCCTCTGTTCAAAGATGGTCGCTCACAGTGGACATAGATGGCTTCTTTCACTCCTCTTTCAAACCATCTGTCCTCTCTGTCCAAAATGTGAACATTGGCGTCCTCGAAAGAGTGTCCTTTATCCTTAAGATGCAGATGGACTGCTGAGTCTTGTCCTGTGGAGGTCTCCTCCACAGGACAACTCTCTGCCATCTATAATCCAGTTTTGAGATCCCTTCCCAGACGCCTTAACGCCCACTCACATCCTGGGCCATCTGATCTCAGGAATTCGCATGATAAGGTGGGGCCAGGTTTCACAATGAACTCACCCAAAACTCTGGCTGATTGGGACCCACACCCAGTTTCACACCTTGGCTCAGGCGATTAGAGGATCATCAGGGGGTCCTTTTGTCCCTCTGTGGGGGGGAAACTCCCACTAGGTTTATATCTGGGACTCTCCACCATTTGACCTTAGAACTGAAGAAGATTCTCGGATGAGAGGTGAAACGTCTTCAAGTAACTTAAAGAAGTCCAGACGCTTTTCTTTGCAAGCTCCTTTGATTAATTAATTATGTCAATAATTAATTAATGACACATTTAATTAATTATTTAATGGTGTATTTAATTAATTCATTATGGCAGTCCTGGCGTTCCATAGACAATTGGCTGAAAGACACAAGTTTACAGCAATTTAGCAAGAGCTGATATTTTCACATCTGTTCAAGTCGGGGCATTAAATGGTTGTTTTTCTTTTTTGTTTCTTTTATTTAAATAATTAAAAATAATTCTAAATGATAAATGATGCTTGAATTTTTTCAGTTGTTATGCAGAAATGCTCCGTCTTGCTTGAAAGTCTGTGCGTATTCTTTACTTTTATTGTCTGTGTGTGTTTCAGATCAACAGTGGATTATTTTTGAAGGAAATCAGCTGGAGGACCATTGCAGTCTCACGGATTATGGAATTCAACACAGTTTCACCCTATGGTTAGTTTTAAGGCTTAGAGGGGGAGAACAACGTGAACAAGATGTTGAAGAAAATGTTGACGAAACTATTGAAATTCATGACTATTCTGAGGAAGACAGTGAGGAAGATGAGGAAGACAGTGAGGAAGATGAGGAAGACAGTGAGGAAGATGACGGAGACAGTGAGGAAGATGATGGCACAGGAAGTAAGAATCCCAAACACCAAAGTATGGAAAACCTAGTTTTCATGTAAATCCTTTCAAAAACACCAAAGATCAACATGTCAGTGGCCCAAGTGCCCAGTGACTTCTGAGCAAACTGGGAAGTCCCCCCCCCAGTCATATCAGAGAGATTCTCTGCAAGATCCACTGAAGCTTGCTCAGCTGTGATGGGAGGAAAGCTTTCAAAGCCAGAGAGCTGAGAGAATGTTTTCTACTCACCCCACGGAACTGAAGATGATGATGCATTAATGCCCCATTTCAACAGATTTGGTCTTTGTGATTTATTACGATCAGTAGTTTTTATAAATCAGCTGTTGCTCTGCCAAACTGGTTCAGCCAGGCAGATGACACACATATGAAGAGCCAGTGAAACATTCGATATCAGTGGCACTCAAACTCTTTAAACACCACATGGATACTACTTCAATTAATGACATCATGTTCAGTCAGTAAATGATTCAGCAAAATGGAAATGTCCTTGGGTTACTGACAGTTTCTTGAATTTGTTATTACTTTGTGTTATGTGAACTTTTCAGAGATAAAAATTACTACTATAAGCTTTATTTTTGTATAAACAGCCTGTTCTCAAGGAGATAATAATCAGCAGATTTTGGATGGATACCAAAAAATCTGTTACATTTGAAGCATTGAAATGCATTGCTTTCAGTTTCCTGACCGACATCTGAGTTTTGTTTTGTTTTTTTTCTTCAAATGGTGATAGCGGCTTATCAGTCTCTTTAAGTTGAGTTATTAATAGAAGCTTTAAAACTCTTTAATTAACCATTTCGCTTCCCTGTCTCCTTTTTTTTCGACCTGGATACTTTTTGTTACTTTCCCTCATCCCCTCGACCTTTTTAGGGGAACGTAACATATATGTATGTAAAGATGAAAACACTGTTTGTTTGACATTTGCTGGAATAATTTGTATTTGTTAATACTATTATCATATTTTGTTCCTTTTTTGAAAATCAATAGTTAAATATACATCCTTACAAAATCAATGTTGTATTCTGTCATCAGTGTTTATTGATGCTAAAAGAAAAAGCTGAGCATGAGAACCATAATATGTAATGAATGTTGCCTTTTATTTCTGTGCCACACAGGGTTGGCTGGTTTTCTTGGAGCGCATTATTGCTCATGCAACAGTATACTGCCCTCCCTCATGTCAGCCCCCTGACATTATGTTCAGGGGGCTGACGGTTTGTAGTACAGGTCCTAAACTTGTAGTTTAGTTCAAGGTTGTGATTGACACGGGGGCAAGAGCACATCTTTGCACAACTTCAAACACTGCCAACAGAACTCATGCTCTTTCTGTTTTAGAAAGTAAAATGTTTGTCTTTTTTGTTTGTGCTTTTTGTTGTTTTTGTTTTACTTGCATTTTGTACCTTGGGGCTGCTGTATAGTTTGAGAAAGAGAATCCAAGAGAGACTGACTTTTTAAAAAAAAAAAAAAAAAAAGTTTGTAATGGTCCACTGCTTTGAGAAAAACTGCTGTATTCAGTATGTTAGAGTAGCATTTTGTAACATAAAACTGCACCCAGTTTGGGACTTTGTAGTTTTAAACTGCATCCACAAATATCACTTAGACTCGGTCTGTGGAAGCCATGAATGTGTTTTACAGAGAAAGAGATTTGTGATTTGAAATAAGATTTATATTTTTTGCTCATCAGTTATTTTCCTTTTAGTTATCAGTTTTTGTTTTTGGGGGGGATGATTGCATTAATTAGAGAAAGTTGGGTCACATGGTTATGGGTGATGCCAGGGGGTTCACATAAGCAGCTGTTCACCTGCACAGAGACGGACTGAGAGAGTTGCCATATATATATATATTTTTTTACCTGTTTTCTTTCAATCACTGTGATTATTTTGAATATATTTTGTGTGCGTTATTACGAGTTGAATTTCATTAAATAAATCTTTTTTGTGTATTCCGAACTGACTGAGAATTTCTTTGGCAGCGCCTAAAAAAAACAAGGAAACGAAGAACGACCTGACACCCTCAGTGACATTGTTGTGTATTTTCCTCACTATGCTATGGATGCAAAACAAACTTTAAAAAAAAAAAGGAAAGAAACAAGATCGCAAAAAATTTGCCAGTTTTTCTGGCAGGAAAACAGCTGCAAGAGAGACGGACCAGGGAAGTGAAAAAAAGAGGTAAGGAAAGGAAGGTGATAAATTTATCCAAAGGAGAAAAAACATTATGGGATGAAAGTGTAAAGTGTAAAAACATAAGAAGATTATATGATGGTGAACAAAACACAGCAGCAAAGTCAGGGAGTCTGGTGTTCTTTGTTCTTGTCTGACTTGTTTAAGATCAGTTAGTTTCTTCTGAGAAAAAGTGATGTTATGAATGTTTCTGTGCACAAAATTTGACAACAGAATTTACAAATTCAGAATCTCTATAATGGACGATTTTGTTGCCTCTACGAAATACAAGTGCTAACTTGTATAAATAATATCCAGTGATCCTGATTTTTACTCATCAATCACTAATATAATACAAAGCTCTCCTTTGATTTCTTTCTAATCAATCTGACATTTTGTTTAATGCTTAGAAATTAGGAGCTACTGATCCACTATGTGCATGTTGATACAAAACAGAAGAAATACAGTTATTTATTTTTCACATTGTGCTTAAACTACAGGCCAACATTTTGTCACACAAGAAGAGCTGACGCTTGATGCTAAGATTTCATTTGTAATAAACTGAGTGCTGATAAAGTTTATTCATATTTCATATTCACAGACATGTTTGAGTAAAAGATGTATGTATAATGATCTCTCTGCACAGTTACTGATTTTAACAGAACAATAAGTCTCTTGTTGTGCAATTTAAAGTTCAGCCAGTAGGAGGCAAAGAAACAAAGGCTGACAAAATAAAGCTCAAAGTGTCTTTTGGAGCTGAGATAGGCAACATACATTTTTTTTATATCAACAATTGTTAAAACCTTGAAGGAAAATATAAATATTCTCTTAAATTGTTCATGTGTTATGGTTTTAAGTTTTGCTCCACACAGGGATGGAGGTCTGCCTTGGAGCGACCCCACTGGGGCAGATTTCATATGGTGAACTGGTCTGTGAACATTCACGCTTCAGTTTCAGGCAGACAAAACAGAACTCCATCTTGCAGCGAGGACAGTTGATATTTTTGCAGTATTCTGTGGTATGCTCCACCCTCATGCCACATGTAGGACAGAGTCTGATGGCGGGGCAGCTGGTGACGCCTTCCACCTCAGGCAGACTGATGGTTTTGCATGTCTGCATGAGTTGCAGGTCCTTGTTCTCACAGCCGTCGTTGTCACAGCGGTCAGATCGAAGGCCTGAACCCTTCCATGGTTTCAGACACTGCCAGCAGAACTGGTATTTCTTCTTCTGATCAGCTGTGCATACGACACACTGGACACACAGGTTGGACAGATCCTTCCTCTCTACATCTGTTTTACACTGAGGACACTGATGTGGGAAACAGTGTTTTAAAGAAAAGAAAGAGACCTCCACTTTAAACATTTTTATCAAAGTGAAATAAGCTGAAAGGTCACAATAATAACCATAAATCACTTACTGGCTGAACCTCGCAGTGGTCTGCAAGAGCCAGACGGGCCATGTTCTCTTCAAAGTGCTGCATTTCCTCCACAGTCAGATCAGCCAGTCTGCGCACCTCCTGGTACGACCACTCTTTATTACACTGCTTGGTTCCCTCCACTAAAGCCGGACATCTGAATTTGTAATTCCCCTGAAAAAAACAACAAAAATGAATCTCTGTATAATTAGAGAAATAACTAAGAACTGAAGTCCAAATCTTCAAGGTTCTTACTTTAATTATAATAATTATAATAGTACTTTGTTACTCGTTTGTTAAAGTGCTTTATAAATAAAGGTGGTATGGTTACATTTATATCTAATAAGCTACTGGCTATTTTCACAATCAAATCTGACAAACACACAATGATAACCTTTTAAAAAAGTAACTTATTCCTTGAAACGAGTACCAGTAGTACCCAACTATTTAGCTTAAACAATTTATAAAAAAGCAGGATCTTGACCTAAAAGGTAACATTTGTATAATAATTTTAGCTAAAAAAAGATTTATTTTAACAGAGCTCAAAACTTAAATAGAACTTTGTTGCACCACTGTTATCCAAATTAAACATGAAACTTTATTTACAAGAAAAAATAAAGGGCTACAAAGACACGACATACCTCATCCAGTAGGGAGCGACACCAACGTGTGAGAGATTCAGGAGTGACAGCGTGGCCGCAGGACATCTCTGCTCTGAGAGAGTCATCACCTGTGGAGGGAGTGGACGACAACAAATCAAACATGTTGTTAGTTTAGAGAGGAAACAAAGTCAAACTAGATTTGCATGTCAAGCTACCCCTCTACACATCCAAATCTAACAAATCTCACACAGAGTGCATCATGTAAGCTGCTTTCTATCTCCACTCCTCCTTTTGTACTGTGTCTGACTTAATCACCATCATATCTGTCTTTGATGCCTTCTCTGGTCTGTGCTGGAGTCTAGCTGCTGCTTCCAGAACAGAAACAAAACACCAAATATAAATTATATTCAGTAAAAATGAAACAAATCTTACATGATGAATCCAAGTCATCCTCTCTGTTGACAAACTTCAGGGTGGTGTCTAGAGGGTCGTATTTCTTCTCCACCTGATCCTGTCCACGAATGCTCATTTTGGGAATCCAGCACTACAAATACTGTAACATAAGATTTATATTAACATGTCAGCCTGCATACAGACCAAACATAATGACTGTCATTCTCACAAGATAGGAGTTTGGACTGAAAGGAGGATGAATGCTGTCTGATACACATCTTCAGTGTGCTGATGGTTCACCTTTTCAAGAGGGAAATGAACCAACACATAAAAAAAACTAGAGATTTACACCCTACAACCTCAAACTGCTGTCAAATTAAAAGAGGAGTCTCGGATTTCAGTTTTTGTTTACATGCAAATATTTCTTAAACAAAAAACAAATAAAAAATGATTTTAAGTAGTTATTTGCTGCTGAATAATGAGTAGTTTTAGTGATTCAAATTTCAAGCACTTCACAGCACCAGAATAAGTGCAGAGCCTTTATGAAGAGGAAAAGTACAATTTTACTTGTTTTTATAAACTTTATTTGCTTTTGAAGATGCATTCATCTTATCTGTGGTTGGTGTCACTGTATGGTCTTCTTATTGTCTTTCTTGGACTGAATACAGTGAATGTTTGTTAATGTCTTCTTGCATCAGTCCAGGTTTTTGAAGACTCCTCATATTGCTGGAGTTTTACTGGAGGAATTTTCCACTTTCATCCTAGATGAAAGTTTGCACAATGCTAGAAAAGATTCAGTGTGTTCATGGTCTCTGTTTCACTCCCAGATAAAGGCTCGTGTGCTGAGTTTCAGTTAAATAACCATGGCATTTAAAAGAATGTTTTAGCTTATGTGTGTCCCTTACAAAAAGTACTTAAAACGTGAAGGGTTTTGAATCCAGAAGCTCTCAGTCTTAAAACAACTTATTTAAAAACCTCCTATGAGGTGTGGCGAGTCACTCAAGGAAGTTCCAGCTGCCTTTAACTTTGTTACAGAACGTTAACGTTTCTCTTTCTTATGAGATTGTTATTACAAAGTAGTAAACATGTCCACAACATTTATGTAATATTTTAAAATAATATGAACTTAAACTTGAAGGAGGCTTCGTAGTTATTTAAGTGGATAAACTGACGATATTAACAGGCGATTTGTTAAAGGGAGAAATGTTATGTCTTCGCTTGTTGGCACAGCTCTAGCAGTTTTAAAGACTTCCGCTTTTATTTTAACGCTCAGCCAGAAGTAGGACAGCCACACATGTAACTCTCTAGTTTGATTTTAGTATTCAAATAAATATTAAATTTACCAAGAATCACGAG